CTATATATATATATATATATATACATACACACACACACACACACACACACACAGCTACTGTATTTTTCACTCCATGCATCTGATGAAGTGGGTTTTAGCCCACAAAAACTTATGCCCAAATAAATTTGTTAGTCTCTAAGGTGCCACAAGGACTTCTCGTTGTTTTCATTCATGAGGGTGTGTCTGTGGATTTCAAAAGTATTCATCAAAGTTAGAGGCAATTTGTTTTTAAATACCCTATCCTTTGGTTTAAAAAGCATGTATTTTTTAGTTGAATGTGTTATGATTAAGAGGAAGAACTGTAGTAAAAACAAAAACAAAAAATCTACACGGAATTAACAAAAGAAAAAGACAGAGTTTGAAGTCAGTTGAATTGCATGGGTGCAACTGAGGAGAGACTTTGGCCTACTGTATGAAATCTATCCAGAGTCTAACCCAGGATTAAGTGACAGGTTTTTGAGCAGCCAAGAACATTTGGAGTTCTGGAAGATGTGGATTTTTCTTCATAGCTCCAGGTTTGGGGTGCTTGCTGCAGTTAAAACTAATATTCACTTTTTGACGTCCCTATCATTGTTAATCTGCTATTGCTGCAGAAAGACAAGATTAGGCATAACTCATAGGCAGGTGGAAAAATATATGAGAGGTGAGACTCTTTCCAGAGGATCTTACAGTCTTATGAATTGATGTAGATTTGTATGTACTGCATCAGGTTAGTTTGTGATCCTTACAATGCTATCTTAGAGACATATGTTATAAGAAAAATATTTTGTAATTAACCCTTCTTTCTTGTTTCAGACAGGAACAACCAGAATGAAAAGGCGACTTTCTTTACAAGCCCACTTAATTTCTAATTCTTTTCTGATTACAGTGGGAGAAACTACAGATGACAACAAGTGAAAGGAGGAAGATAGTCTGTTCAGTTACATTCCATATTATTGCTATTACCTGTGTTGTTTGGTCATTGTATGTTTTAATAGATCGGACTGCTGAGGAAATTAAGCAAGGCAATGACAATGGTAAGTGACTTTATCTCCTTCATTGCTAACATAATGAGGGAGACATTAGAAATGCAGATAGATAGTGAGGCACTTTTTATTTGTAAATATATAACAGTATTATAGGGAATTGGTTTGATGACAAAGCAAAGGACACAATTCAGTTTACAAACCTGTTTTTTGCTGAATATATTTTTTTTCCTGTAGTGCAAAGAGATCACAGTTCAATGCACCCATCACAACTACTAAACTATTCAGTTCATTCTTTTCATTCTACTTCAATAGGTGGACATTTTTTTTTAAGCTACAATTAAAAATTGATGAGTGAAACTTAAAAAGTTCAGTGCAAGTTCAGTTCAGAGCATCCAAAAGATTTAAGCTGCCCATCTGACCTATTAAAACCTCTCTCTTCTACAAAACTGGGGTAGAAATCTTGCAACAGGCTTTCTTAGAAGATTTCAAGCAAGTTAACTTCCAGACCCAGCAGGAAACTCTGCATGAAATTCACCCTAGTGTAGAAAGTTCTGTGCAGCCCTTAATGTGGGAATTAAGTGTCACAGAAGTCCTTTCCTGCATTCTCAGCACACAGCTGGATTTCATCCTCTGACTGCAGCCTTTATTGTGATATCTCAGCACTTCCAGTTCTAGTGGGAACCCAGACATGCAAAGATTGAGAAAAATGAGGGAGAGGGAGGAGTTACTGGAACAGTTTAGAACAGGGGTAGTCTATTTTTGTCAAGGTCTACTTTTCTTCATCAAGGTATAGTCAAGGTCCAGGATCCAGAGAAAATAATAAATAAATAAAAAGATTTTTGGGTCCATTCAAAAGCATCTGGCAGTCCAGATTTGGCCCGTGGCCCACCTATTCACTATCCCTGATTTAGAACCTTAAAAAAAGTTTTGGTTATTATTTCAGTACTAGCAGTAGTAGTATAATAGTACAATCCCTTCCTGGATACCACAGGATTGTGGCCTCGGTGTGCCAGAGGGCATTTGAATGCAGGACTGGATTTACATAGCTGATTTGTTTTACAACAGACTACAGTGGATTAATGAACTAAGTAGATATTGCCAACATGCATATAGTAAAAGGCGAAATATTTATACGATCTGAAGAGAGTTGCAAATGATGCTGCTTTTAGTTACAAGAATCCATTAAGGTAAAAAATTAACATATGGGAGCAAATCCTGGCTATGGATACACCCCTGGGCACTCAGATTAGCACATTCAAAACCAGAATTTGATCCACATGTAGTAGCATTTATTTGATTACTGCAGACAACTGCAAAGCTCCCATCCGCTACAGTGATGGGACAGCAGGCCCACTCTTCTTCATATGGAAATTCAGAACTCTGATTTACTACCCAAAAAGTTGCACGCTAGCCAGGTAAAGTGGGAAGATGGGGGAAAATCCTAAAAAGTATTTTTCCCTATTTCTGCTTGGCATAATTACTCCAGGTCTGGTGAGATGACAGAAATATCTAATCAAACAAGCTAGTGTAAATCAGCATGGCTCCACTGCCTTCAGCAGAGCTACAGTGATTTACTGCAGCTGAGGCTATTGCCTGGTGTGTAACTTTTCAAAACTAACAGCACATCTCAACAACCATCACTAGTAAGTAGGATTTTCAGAAGCTCATAGGTCAGTGTGTGGAGTAGCTGTCATTGTCTTAATAAGGAGACCATCCCTGTCATTTGAGTAGGAGTCCAACTGACTTCACTGGAACATGTGCTAAAGTCACTTTGACTTTCAAAAGTGCCAACCTGAAAAAGTTAGCACTTTACCACAGATTTCCCTATCACGGAAATTGCTGTTATCAAACACCATTCTGTGATTATTTCAATGATTTCTCACTTACAAAGACTTTTCTAAGGCAAGCCAGTTGCATAAGCAGCAAAAACAGATGGTTCAACTAGGTCTGTCGATTAATCGCAGTTAACTCAAAAAATTGTGATTAATCGCACTGTTAAACAATAGAATACCAATTGAAATGCATTTAATATTTTGGATGTTTTTCTACATTTTCAAATATTTCTATTACAACACAGAATACAAAATGTACAGTGCTTACTTTACTATTTCTTTTATCATTTATACAGTGCAAATATTTATAATAAAAATAATTTTTCAATTCACCTCATACAAGTACTGTAGCGCAATCTCTTTATCATGAAAGTTGAACTTACAAATGTAGAATTATGTACAAAAAAACCTGCATTCCAAAATAAAACAATGTAAAACTTTAGCGCCTACAAGTCCACTCAGTCCTACTTCTTGTTCAGCCAATCGCTAAGACAAACAAGTTTGTTTACATTTACAGGAGATACTGTTGACTGCTTCTTATTTACAATGTCACCTGAAAGTGAGAACAGGTGTTCGCTTAGCGCTTTGGCATTGCAATTTGGCAAAAAAGGTACCAATGTGAGATATCTAAAAATAGCTACAGCACTCTACCCAAGGTTTAAGAATCTGAAGTGCCATCCAAAATCTCAGAGGGACAAGGTGGGAACATGTTTTCAGAAGTTTTAAAAGAGCAACACTCAGATGCGGAAACTACAGAATCCAAACCACCAAAAAAGAAAATCAACCTTCTGCTGGTGGCATCTGACTTAGATGATGAAAATGAAAATGTGTTAATCTGCACTGCTTTGGATCGTTATCTATCAAAACATGTCATCAGCATGGACGCATGTCCTCTGGAATGCTGGTTGAAGCATGAAGGGACATATCAATCTTCAGCGCATCTGGCACGTAAATATCTTTCGACGCTGGCTACAATAGTGCTATGAAAACACCGGTTCTCACTTTCAGGTGACACTGTAAACAAGAAGCAGGCAGCATTATCTCCTGCAAATTGTAACCAAACTCATTTGTCTGAGCGTTGGCTGAAGCAGGACTGAGTGGACTTGTAGGCTCTAAAGTTTTACATTTTTATTTTTGAGTGGAGTTTTTTTGTACATTATCATGAAAGTTGAACTTACCAATGTAGAACTGGGACTGCACTACAGTAGTTGTATTAGATGAATTGAAAAATACCATTTGTTTTTTACAGTGCAAATATTTGTAATAAAAATATAAAGGGAGTACTGTACACTTTGTATTCTGTGTTGTAATTGAAATCAATATATTTGAAAATGTAGAAAAACATCCAAAAATATTTAAATAAATGGTGTTTGATTATTGTTTAACAATGCGATTAATCACAATTGTTTTAATTGCTTGACAGCCCTAGGTTAAACTCAAAATTACTGCTCTATTGGTTGCAACTAAGCCTGGCAGTTGACCACCCGTGGATTCTAATCATAGGGCTGACACCATATCCTTCTTGGAGTGCCTCTCTCTAATGACGCCTAACAGTCACAAGCAAGTTGTTCAGTTTCTCTTTGCCTCAATTTTCCCATATGTAAAATCTAGATAACTGACATACCTATCAGCATTGCTGTGAAGCATAAATTATCCTGTTTCTAAAGCACCTTGATCATGATTTGCACTCTATATGTGCTAAGGATTTTTAAAGATCTTCTGTATGTGACTAATAAATTTATTTAAAGTAAAATATCTAGAAAGCAGCATTGACAGAGGCTTATGACATGCATTCTCAAAACCACACACTTGCATATTATGTATTAACGCCAACACTGTCATCGTTAGATCTGATGCAGTAATGCACAACTGAGGTTCCCCCCCCATTTTAGTCATACTGCTAAACATATGAAGAAGCAGCTGCAGTGATGTTAATTATCCTGTGATTATAAAGCTGTTCCCAGTATAGCAGTAATTGATTTTGTAAAGTTCTAAGACTAGTTCTAGGCTAAAGTGAATCATTACTCATGTCATTACTGAGTTCAAATTCTCTGTTCTGTAGCTTTAGTGTCATCACCAATAGAGAATTTTCTACAATTACAGTAAGACCTTTCAAGAGTTTTTCCTGTTTTTAAACAGAGAGCAAAGGGTACAATGAGCAAAAACAATACCAGGAACTGTAAAGTTCTTATTTAACTAAGTAGGAAAATAGCAATGTATTGATTTAGAGAAGGGAAAAAAAACCAAAAGCTGTGGTACTGTTGATTTCTTCCCACTAATTTGCTACTGAACCAATGCTACAGCACCATACCAGGGGGACATCAATGAGGTATAAAATAGGGTGTGCCCGGTATATTTACAGACCATTAGTATGCTGCAAATTAGGATGTAAAACTACAGCGCACCAAGTGGCCATGTGGACCTTGCTACCACTCATTACGAAACTTTGTGCATGGTAGCAGGGTCCACGCAGGAACTTAGTGTGTAGCAGACCAGTACACTTTACATACCCTGGCTGGTGGCACACTTGAGTCTCCTTGTAGACTAGCCATCAAACTTCAAATGTGTTTAAAAAAAAAAATTATTTATTTCAGTAGTAGGGCTAAAGCCCAGTGATCTGGCCATTCCAGTTTAGATAATAACATTCTGCCTACTTAACATAGATACTATGGGCATGGGTACAATTAAGGGACGTATAACTGTCCTTACTAGAAACAACAGACATTTTTCTTTCTGTCATAGGACCTGCTACTGCACTCCTTGTTAAACCAAAAATCCCCTAATGTGCTAGATGTTTCTAGGATCAAGGGAACAGGTGCTGTCTTCTACCATAACAACAGCTGCACGTCATGTGTGTGACTGTATACATACAGTACAAATAGCATTAGAGAACCTTTGAAAAGAATAATATGTCAACATTATGCAATACTGGAATGTATAGGCTACAGAAAAGACAAGAATTAGCAAGACATGATGAAATTATGATGATATTAATTGTAACTTGTTTGTTTAAAAGGTGTCCTTGAATGGCCATTTTGGACAAAACTGGTTGTGGTAGCAATTGGGTTCACTGGAGGCCTAGTCTTCATGTACGTACAGTGTAAAGTCTACATTCAGTTGTGGCGCAGATTGAAGGCTTACAATCGAGTGATCTTTGTTCAAAACTGCCCGGACACTGCCAAAAAACTGGAGAAGAATTCTTCATGCATTCAGAACTCTGAAATCAAGGATGCTGTGGTAGTGCCAGTATCACAGACAGGTACAAACTCTCAGCAATCAGCTGAAGAAATGACCTCTGAGGTCATGCCAGTTTGACAGAGGTGGCATTGTTTCTTCAATGACGGTGTGTGTGTGTTTTTTACACCACAGCTACTACAATCATGCATTTTAAATAAAAGAACAAAAAACCCTGACCAGGGAAATGGATACAGTGAAGCAACATGCATTACTTATGGAATGTGACCGTTTGTGAAATAGTTTCTCAGTCAGCCAGGTGTAGTGGAAATGTAGAAAGCACAACAGAGAACAATTCTCACAGACATGACAAAATGACCTTTTTAACTTGATGATCAGGAGGAATTGAAAACAGACCTGTTCTGTTACAGAAAACATCAACAACTTTCTATTTGTTACCACTAGGCATCTTATTCGCTAATCATCTTAAAAATACACTTCAGGGTGACACTACTAAAAAGTCATTTGCATTAAACTTAAATCAACAAAGTAAACAGACCTGCACCATGTCACTCACTTTCTAAAGTAATCGTTGAATGGCTACATTGGAGCCTGAATGTTTTGGCAGCCATGTGAGCTGAGGATGTGTGTGTTTTTTTTTTTTTTGCAAAATAAGCAATTTCAACAAGTAGTCTTCAAATTGCCTCAAACACTTCCTTGGTCCCATAAAATACAAGTATTATTTAGCCACAAGGCTAAAATTATTGGCTCTACATCTGGAACAACACTTTTAGTGCTGCTTATCTTAAAATAAAATAAAGACTTGTTAAGTGGTGAATTAACATGAACACTCTGCCTACATATATAGAAAGGATATATAGAAAAGTTTTTCTCCAAAATGCAAAAAGACAAAGTATAATCAGAGGCATTACAGGTTGAAGTATGCAGTTCATTACAAAAGAATATGAAATGAATTTATACCCTCACACCCCTAGGAATGACAGTTAAAGTGTGGGGGGGCAGAGGTAGAATTTTTTAAGACTTCATGCTTCAACAATTAAGGTAATCACAAAAGAGCATACCTGGACCTATTAAAAGACGCCAGTATCGCCCTGTTCTGACTTGACTGGATAGTTCTCCTCTGTTCAGGATAAGACTGTGCGATTAGGGATTCAACAGTTCAGTTGTTAATTTTGTGTTTTGAGCATTTTCATGTAAAACTGAAGTGTGAATAACATTAAAGAGTGCAATAGATAAATAAATGTAGATAAAATGATGTCCAACAAAGGTGAGTTACATAAAGAATTTTGTGATTCACTTCCAATTGCTGTGGTGTTTATTATTGGGACAGGAGAGGGAAAGTGGCCAGAAGTAGTTTGAGTAAGTCTGGGGACTACAGTAAACTAAGGCCCTCTTTGATCTTGTGTTTAGGAAATTGGTGTGTGCATGTGAGGGGAGGATAGGAAATCAAACCAATCATTTTGTGGATGTAATGTATCAAGCAGAATCTACCCTGCAGAATGTAATTATCCTGAGTTTTCTAACCTTAAAGCATCATTAAATGGCAGTTGTCTTGCAAGTACTGTGCAATTGAGTCTTAGTTTCAGTTCAAAAGAAGATATACTTCAACTGAAATTGTCCCCTGAAGAGAATTCAGGGAAAGTGAAGTATTTAGTGTCTACTCAAAAGCCCATTGAACACAACTGTAATTCTCCCATTGACTACAGGGGCTAGGATTAGGCCTTTAATCCCTTACAGCATTATTGAGGCCCTTTCCTTTCAGTTTTTATTTAGTTAAACTGATAAATTTCCAGAAAATGTTAGTTACAAAAATTTGAAAAGATTGAAAATCTGCAGAAAAAAATTAAGTTTGCACTTTTCTGAGTAAATATGGGGTAAATATCACTGCTCCTGTTTTTTTCTTTTGTTAGCTTTCAGAACGCCCCTACTCGTCCAAAAGGTAGTCAGATACAGTTTTTTATTTTCAGCCCATTTTAGTATGAAAAGTAATTCCCTAACTTTTATCCATGTTTTCTGTATAGCTGGAAATGTGTATGTAGTGGGCATGAGATTGACAATAGTACATAAGCCAGTATTCAAGTAATTCCCATACTTCTGACCTGGCTCCCTGCTCTGGAAGCAGAGATGGTAGCTTCACAAACTGAGCTGGCCAGGTTGGCAAAGCCCAGAAGTGGAAGAGACAGAGGCGGCAGCATAAGGAGAAGATGCCCTTGTCTCTTCCACTTCTTCCAAAATTCAGATGAAAAAAATCATTAGAAGCCTAATAACTTTTTTTTGTAAAACTCAGGAATGTTTCAGTTAAACTGGGAAAAACTGAAAATCCTCTCTCATCCCCTCTGTCAGTTACAGTTGACTTGATTGCTTTTAGAGAGACAAGGTAGGTGAAGTAATGTCTCTCTCATCAGCAGAAATTGGTCAATTATAAGATACGCTTTTGAGCTTACACAGAGCTCTTTCTTCTGGTCTGGGGTAGAGATTTAGCTATATACTCAAAGCCACATTTACCTAGTAGTATAAGATTTGTCTCCAGCAAAAAGATTATTTATACTGAGGTGTTAGGGATACAGGCTTGCATGAATAACTTCACATGAAAATGGGTCAAGAATGTAAGTACTGGACAACACTTCATCTTAAAACATCTGCCATCCTTGTCTATCAGAGAGTATAATGTTCTGTATGAACCCAATCAGTATAGTCCACTTGAGGATTCTGTGCCACAAAAAACACGGTTTTTCACTGGCAAGTAGTAATTTAATGCTTTTCTTTTATGAAATAATGTTATTTTGAGAAGAAGTTAAAGATCAGTAAAAACCTACATATACATAAGTAGCTAAACCACAGTGCCTAGGCCCAGTAATCAACTGCAGTCCTCATTCAGGCAAAACACCACTGACCTCAGTGGAATTTGGACTGGCTAAGAACTGCAGGATCAGGCTGTGGGATGAACACTCATTGCGAGCTGCCCTTTTGTAGTTGTGGTCAGTCCCAGGTAGACTGCACTGATATGAAGTCAAATTCTGCCTCGTGCTTGAGCAACACTCCCTTTAACTTCAGTGGCAGTTTTGCTAGGATAACGATTGCAGAATTACTAGTGAGGAATTGTGGAACATAAACAAAATGCTTCTTTCCTGGTTTCTTAAAATTTGTTTCAATTTCCAGAACTAATGCTTTCAATTACTCATTTTAAAACAGTTAATGACAATGCACCACTTACCTCTGTATTAGTCTGATGAGGATTTTTACCCAGTCCGATGGTAGTATTTCACATAGCGCTATAGCTTGAAAGCAAATGTTTATTTTCCTGGTCTGTCCACAACAATACATTCCCCATCATTGGATCAAGCCCTTTTTTTATATATCTGGACACTGCAGTGACACTTCATCTATGAAGAAAATATTTTACACCGTGTAATACTTGGAACTAAGAGTTATTACTTGTTTAACCCCATTCTCTTTTCCAAAAAAGGTTGTTTTTTGTGAGTGAATATGTACTGAAAGAAAGGGGCTGGAGCTTAAAGGAAACAAAATTAATATAAATGCTAATTGTTGTAGAACAAATTTGTATTTGTATTAAACAAATGACCCAAACCACTGCAGTTTTCCATATTTTATATGTATTTTTAAGTGGTAGAAATGATCTTACCACCATATAGTATATTTAAGTTTCCAAAAGAAAAACCATTTTGCTTTGTTAAAGCAAACATGCAAAATTTATGTTTGCTTTGTGACATTCCTTCAACAGGAAAAAACATTTTCACATCCCATTTTTCTCCACAGGCAGAACTCCGCGCATAATTATAACTGAATTTGTTGGGAGGATTCCATCTTTCTGCCCCCTCCCCATTGTCTTAAGCTATGCACCCAGATTTTGGTTAAGTTTTTAAAGCCCCTTTGCACAGAATTCCAGCAAGCATGGGCCCCATCATTTTCATATGATAGACTTCTACAACTATGCTCTGGATAATCTATTTGAAACAAAGCAGTCTGACATTATCTAATGACATCTAAAGTGTTGGAGCAGGGGTGTTCACATTAAATGGTATCCATTGCCTCTAAGACCAATGGATTACAGTGCTCCTTGAGAGAACATCTAAGCCAGCTTTGCCAAAGTGTAAAGAAAATTTCATCGCTTAAACAGATCTACATGTTTAATAGAAGCAGTTCAGTCATTTTTATCTATTGTATATAAATACAGAGCTAAATTTATTTTAAAAGTAGGGAATTATGGGTAACCTGAAGTAATGTTTGACTAGTATCTGTCAAGGGTAACCTTTTAGCTCGAACACATTGGCCAATTTTTTTTTCTACCTTTTCAGGGAAAAAAAATTGTCCTTTGCTAAAGTTTGGGCAGCTAAACTAAGGCTTATGTTGGAACTTGGCTGCAACTTTAGAGATGACCAGAACTCCACCCTACCTTCCACAGCACTAGGTATTTCCTGATACACTTTCAACTTGATCTTAGGATTGTGCGGTTGATCACTTTGCCTGAGAATTCACATACCTTTTGGTAAGCTGTGTGCAGTACCTCTGGAGCAGCCTCTTCTATAGTTACACTGAGGAAATGGGAATTAAAACAGCATTTTTTTGTTTATTCCAATTGATGCTTTGTGTGCCGTTTGAAGCTCTTGGAGAAAGCAAAAACTAACTTACTACTCCTTCGAACTTGCCATATAGTTAAAATTCCTTAAGAGCTAGTACATAGTCTATAATTTGAAGAAATTAGGTTGTTCTTAAACAAATTTACACAGGAATTGTTGTAGCAAAGTGAGAGGTTCCTAAAGCCAGACATGCTGTCTGTAAGTCTCTCTTTAGTAACAAAATTAGGTGGGTTTCACTTGAACCAGTTCAGCAACCAATAAAAGCTCAGTGGCTCTCAGAGGCAAAACAGCTAGATACAGGAAACCCTGCAGTGAGCAACCCTGGGAATAAACCAGTCTGAGGGGAAGCTTGGGCAAGGTTTTATTGATAACTGTTAGCAATCTCACCTTGACATTTACTGCTTATCTTTCTAAAGCTGCAAAAGAAATAAGAATTTTGGACAAGATCACATTACATGTATAGTAGGATAGGGAATAGCACGGTGACCCAGTCATTCTCAATGAGCATGTTGCCCTTCTTGATTGGATGTAGCTTCAAGAATATAAATCAGGGCTGACAGCATAACCGAGAGCTTCTTTTACCTCAACTGGAACAAGCCTATGTTTTTAGAGCAGTGAATGAGAGACCAGTATTTTAGTCCAGGCTCTCTATGTAAATATTGGTTTAGTAATTCTATTTGTTCATTTCTAACAATGAACTAGTTACAGAATGACACAGCTGTTCCATTTATGTAGAAAATTGGTCAGAGTATTTGAATTACAGGTAATTAAGAGTTACTCTGATTAACTATGGATTTTCTACTGAGTAGTTTTGTAAAGTTGTAAGCAGAGTTTTATTATATGCCTCATGACACTTTGCACAGGGTATTTTCATACCACTATACACAGATTTTTAAGGTAACAGTTTAAGTGTAGGTGCTTAAAGTACAGTTCTACTCTGTGGAATATCTTACTAAAATGGTATTATGAGGCTCCAAATTAGGAACCCTTTTTAAAAAACCTACCTGAACATCTCCTTTATAGTGAGAGTCTACAGCTCCATTATAATGGGTCTTACTCATAGTTGCAGCTCCTTGGAGGCAGATATCAGGTCAGTCAAAGCAGGCTGGGAGAGGCCACATTCTTGAAGACCCAGTTAACAAGCTCTACAAAGCAGCTCTAGAAGTAATTACTTTAAACCTTAATTCAGAGGTTATGAGGTAGAACAAAAATTTATATAAACTTTTCCTGGCGGAGAATAACTTCAAATTCCACCCCAATTAGCGGTGGATATATATGTATATATGTGCCCGACAAAAAAAAATGGAGGAGAGGGCAACAGTTGAAGTTTCCCTCAGAACTATAACATTGTGGTGGGTGGGTTGGATCTGCTGACTTCCATGCTAGAAAAAAGGTGATTCCCAGTTAAGGCAAATTTTCCTATTCTTCACAGTGAAAGCCTGCAGATCCATTGCAATGGGATATCCAAAAGCAGTGTGTCACCAGCATGGGAAACAAATGATGAGATACTGTCTTTTTTTTTTTTAAATACATCAGTTACAGGGTGAATACTAGCATACAGGTCTCTTCCTCCAGTGGCAGAGGAGGCCTTCACATTTAATTTGTAAAACTTGGTGAAGATGTGAAAAAACATGACCAGGTGGCCTCTCCTCCATCTCCTTTTTGTATATTAGAGATGATCCTTCAGGAGGCTTCCATGCCGCTGAATGAATGAGTAGGAATGGGGGGTGGGAGGAAGAAAGGCCCCTATCTTTGAAAGCTTCTTAGATATACCAATTTAGTCATCTACTAACTGATGCCATAGCAGCAGTTTCTTTTCCCCTGATTAGCCCCATGGGTGGATGCTCTTATTCCAGAATTAGCTTAATCCTCTTTGATTAAATTAATTCTGAATAAAGCACTCTTATTCGGGAATAAGTGTCCACACGTGGAATTAATGAGGCATCATTCATTTGCTTTAAATTCACATCCTATCTTATTTGAGCTATATTAATTTAAAGACCAGCCCTTACGCTAGTTTGAAGTTTTGTACACAACTTGTTTTCAGTCCCTCTAGCTAAAACAAAGACTCATTGTAACACTTAAAACTTTGCAGTTAAACACCATTAAAATCAATTACCTAAAACTAAATAAAAAAAATCCTCAGGTATTTGGGTGAGGGGAAAATCAAGCCACAGCATTCTGAAAGAGAAAACTTCTTTTGGATTTTCTAATTAAGAGTATGATAAAGTTTAGTTATGAACACAGAGCGCGTCCCATCTACAGTGGTTAACATTACAAAGTTTATAACTACTTTCTGCAAGTAACATTTCCACGGTATTTCTTATATTAAAGCAATCTATGTCTAAACATAGAAAAACACTGGAGTAATTAGACAGAAGTCAAAATTTTCATGTTAATGGCAGTCACTATATATATATTTTCGTTTAAAAGAGAATGTAAGTGCAACAGAACATCAAAGCATCCTTATAGCATTCGGAGAAGGAATAGCTCTTCAGTCCAGTAAACAAACCAGCTGGCTGTAAAGCACAGTAATTGTCAGAAAGATTACTATAAAAATGACATCATGGGATTCTATATTCATTTTCTGTCTCAATAACATTCTCAACCTAGAAATTTAAAGTCAACATGAGTTTCTCTCTTCCATCATTACCATATAAAGATTCTGCAGTCAAAACTTACTCAACAAATTGATGATGTGCAAGACAGAATAAAATCCAGCTCATTTTTCTGTACTGACACTTGATAACAATTTGCCTTTGCCAGCATGAGTCAGATAGTCATCCTATCTGTTCCCTATGTAAGATCTTGCCATTTTTATAGTAATTTTTCTGCCTACATCAATATAAAAAATATTTTTCTCTTCATTAGCTGGAGAAGTTTTCATTTCCCTGTGTAACCTATATAATAGTCTAAAAAGCTGAAGTCGATATGATAGCAAAAAGGAACACAGGGTACATGAGATTATAATTAAAAAATTGATTTCTATATCTCATTTCGCTTTTATTTTAAAATGCATAACATGAGCAGCGAGTATTACAAATTATTTCAAGACTGCTCAATTTTTGTCAAGTTAACTTTACAGATTATACATTTGCTTTATATATTGCCTTTTGTTTTAATGGAATTGTTCATGGAAAGACTTAGACAGCTAATCTAATATTCTCCATGACTCCGAATAGCATACATTTAAAAAAAAATGTTTACACAAATGTCAGCTTAACACAGTGCTATTAAGGACACCACATCTTTTACAATGACAAACTAGCCTTTCAAGTCATTCCAGGAAGAATAAGGCTTACTGCCCCTTTTATTCATCCCATTAAAAGAAAATGCGGAAGAAAAAGGACTTCTGGCAGTGATTCTATCGCCACAGTGAAACATTGAGCTTGTCTACATATGGAAGTTACACCAATTCAACTAAAATTGGTTTTTAAACCAAAAAACCCCCCCAAACCTGCTCTGTGGACACAGGTCTATTGGTGATTCAGATCTGTGAGATGAGTTCAGGTTTTAGGCAAGCTAAGCAGATGAGACAGATTTAAATAGAGTTAAGAGCAATTATACATACATTGCACCAGTTTAACTAAATCAGTTATCACATCTCTAGTTAAATCAATGCAGGGTGTGTAGAGCAGGCAATAAAATTTTTAGCACGGACGAATGAGAATGCTCAGATGTTCAGCCTTAGGGAATGATGGATTAACTGAGCAAAAATGTGAAAGGCAGCCCTTGAGGAGACATTCCCTCCCTGCAGACGGTTCCTTCCCAGGTGCGCCTTGCTTCCCCTTATCCCTCCCTGCTAGCTCAAGGCTTCATTGGGGAAAGGATTTTAGGGTCTTCCACGCTCTGCCTCAAAGCCAGCCCTACTCCCTATGTAAATGTAAATGTGCTAGCAATGCTACAAATACTATCATTTACCTCTTACACATCACTTTTCATCTGTCAATCTCAAAGTGCTTTACAAGGGAAATAAGCCTCATCATCCTCATTTTATAGATAGGCAAACTGAGACACAGGGAAGTAACTTACCAGGGTCACCCAGTAGGCCAGTGGTAAAGCTGGGAAGAGAACCCAGGTGTCCTGAACCTCAGTCCAGTATTCTATTTACTAAGCCACACCAATAACCAACAGTGTCTCAGCTTAGTGATCAACTCAGTCTTTGTAATGAAGGCAATAAAATCTCCTACATAAAATGGTTAACTGGCTACCCCTAGCATCAGAAAATGGTCAATTTAGGCACATAGCTTTTAGTGGCAGAAATACATTCTGCCTCTACAGCCCTAGAGTTAAAGGCTTTTCTTGAGTTCATGCAGTTGTAGATCTAGGAACCCTTCTGATTATCAAGTTATGGATATCCCTTATCACTAAATGGGACACTATGCTTCTAGGTTGACATACATTTCTTAGTTACAGGGCAGGGCCTGTGCGCTTAAAGGACGTGGGTAGAGAAGGAGATTCTTCCTACTGTTCTCTCTTTTGCTTGTTCTCAAGTCTGACAAGGGCTTCCCTGAAAGATGGGTCCAAATTAGGCACAAAGGGAGGTGGAGGGATGCTTTACAGGAGGCTCCAAAAGCCTTCCTCCAATTTTTGATGCTCCTTTTCAAGTCTGTTAACATGAGGCTGTATGAAAGCCTGCTTCTCTAAGCCATTACCTGAGCATTAGCCAAATGCACAATTTGCTGAGGGCCTGGTTGCTGGCTCAGTAAAGAAAATCTGGAGATGGTGGCTATGGGGATAGATTTAAGTCACATATTTAGTACCATTTTATCTTAACTTAGACGCCACAGGTAATGGACCAAGTTATGGGTAAAGGTAGTCTGCTGTATAACAGTATCTTACCTACTTATCAAAATTAAATGACATTTATGTTCTCATTATCATCATCCAATGAGTGGACACTACCAAGAAAATCCAGCCCCTCTTCCCCCCATGACATTTGCCAAAACAGGCGAGTCACAGAGAGTGCACTGTCCCACAGCCATTAGGCTAGAGATAACTATTCCCCACCAACCCATACCCAGGGGCTTGCACTCTCAAGAGAAGCTAGGGTGGAAGAGGTAGGGGGAAAATGGAGATTTTCTGAAAGTTTTAGATTTTAAAGCCTTCATTCATTTTTCTCTAAGTAAGCACCACACTGAATCTAACATGCTGCTTGCTGAAATTTCACTACATAACTTAAGGCCAGGGTGAAGCACAATCAACTAATCAAATATTCAACCAACCAAGTCTTCTCAAATATAATTGAAAATACCAGCTTTATTCTTGCTTCCAGTGATAGTTCAAATAGGTTCCTGGCAGTCCCTTTCAGCTGTTTCACCTTTTGTATTGGCTGGTACTCATTAGTCTGTGTCTTTTGCTGCATCTAATTCCTCTTCAGCTTCCCCATTTGTCACCTCTGTCCTACTGCAAACAGCATCTTTAGTAGAGACTTTTCTCATTTTAATGTTTGGCAGTTTCTTCAGATCGCCATCCCATTCTCTTAAAGAAAATAAGATATAATAGAAAATAATTAATGTTTAAAATTCAGAACCCAGAAAAATTAACTATTGTTGGTTACTGAAAAGGGTTTTCAGGTAGGTCAGGTAGAGGCATAAGTCTGGAACCAGAAAGGATATGCTGCATTAGCCTTAGCCTGACATCAGTCCCAATGTGCTCTGTCCTCCTCAAACCCTTACTGGTTCATGCGTGCACAAGCAGGTGCCTACTACAAATGATACATCTTCCTCGCACTTGTTCTACACTCACCCTGAAATCTGTAAGGGGGGTACTTGTCAGCTGGGATAGCAGATCAGCAGGGGAATCTAAAAAAGAACCCCAAGCCAGCAACTATCCAACTGTGAGATAAGAAAGCAACAGGCAAGGAGAAGGTGTATATGATTAGCAGGAGTGGGGTGCTGGGTTAAAAATAAGCAGATGGGGATGCTCAGGAGAAGTCAGTGCTTAAAGGGTTAACAAACCTAGGACTGACTGTATAAGGTTTGTTAAAATGCATGCTGCTGTATACCACACTAATTGCAGTGTGTTTACACATCTATACAGCATTGGGCTGAAACATGGTAAGAATTCAGCCAAAAAAGGTCTGGTCTGTATTTTGATAAGGTTCTTCGGGAAGTGATGTTAGCCATTTATAGCAGTGACATTCTTCCCTGACAGTCAGTACTTGCCCAGTGCCACAGCATGTCATATGAGGGGACGCTGATGCTGTCTTTTTGATGAGGCATAAATCAAGAAACTTTTTTTAAAGAATAGCAGTGTTAATCCAGCTCCCCTGAGAAAATATTAAGTCAAGCAAGTCTGCCTTACTAACTTACACTATCAATTTTAAATCCCCCCTGCAGTTTCAATTAGATACAATGTTCTTCATTTCCTGTCCTGAACTTGTATACTGCTGCCGAGCGCAATTAAAACCGTTATGACTTTTCAACGCACATCTGGTTGCTTCCAGTGATGAATTAAGTGATTCACGTATCTATCTAGTTTGTAAAGTGCTTTAGGATTCTGTGGGATAAGAAACGCTGACAAAATGTAAGTTACATATATTACTCATTCTACTCCCACTGTCAATTTCTATTCTGTACCTTTCTGACTATGAACCAGTTGGTTTTAGATTTGACAGATTTAACTCCTTTTGTGCAACGTAATGAGTGCAGTTGGATCAACTTCCCCATTTGGGTGCTCACTGTGCAGAGCTAATATTCCACCTACTGGAAAACAGTAGTTCATTATGATCTATGAGAAATGTAAAAATGTTGTATGAGTGATTCCAAGGAGATACAATGCATGTGTAATTTAAATTCACGAACTGAATCTATTACTTTCAAAAGGCTTGAGGCTGCATAAAGGAGGAAGGACTCATTTAATAATCACATCAGGCCCAAGATCAAAATTATAGCTGTTTGAGTATACTAAAGGCAGTTGGTGGATGATTTTTCTCAAGGGCAATAGCCTTTTTTTTTTTCCATTTTTTTTTTACATGGCCAAATCTGCTGTGGTTCTAACAAGGTAATAAACCAGAAACCTTCTGTCAGAATTTTCATGGTACGGTAAGTCACTCTATACATTCCTGATCTCATGGCAGTTGGAGGTTTAGTGCCTTTAAATTTAACTCCTACCACACAGATGAAATCCTCCAAAGCCTTCTGCCTAATGGACAGAGCAGATTGAGCTGTGGTACTTAATCCACTGCACTGCCCAATTCTTAAGATTTCTTATAGTTATTCTTAGATAAATGTAGCTCTTGACTGTATAGTTTGCCTTAAGTCTGACTGGATTATTATTGCAGTTTTGCATTGCCATGGGAAAATGCTAGTTTATTATGCTGAATTTTTAAACAAACATTTAAAATGCTGAGCACCCGTAACTTGCTCTGAGTGAGAAGGACTTGAAGGTGCTCAGCAACTCTGAAAATCCATCCTTAAGGATTTCATTTTACAAATGGACACAGGAATTACCATATCAGATTGGACCACTGGTCCATCTAGTCCACCCTCCTGTATTCAGTATCAAAAGAAGGTCGAAGAAACTCCGATTATAGAATAGCATGTTGTGGAGAAAGAGGGATTTGTGTGTGGTATTTTTTTTATAAATATCATATGCCCTTCAGGCTGTCCGTAATATTCTCCTCCCTCAATGCACAGAGTTAAATCAATAGGATTGTTAAAGGAATCAAGCAGGAAGGCAAAACAATGACACAGATAAGAATCCTTGAGGAAATAACAGGGAAATTGTTTATAGCCTACCATCCAGGCTAAGAAGAGTTTACTCTCCCCCAGACTAGGCCTAGTATGAAAGGGGATCCTAAAAATCTTTAAAATGATGTCTTTGGGAGGAAGGGGAGGCTGCCCAGGGAGTGTCAGTGAGAGCTAAGAGACACACTGAAAGAGAACATGCTACGAGCAGGACAGTCTGGTTCTCCCCAGAGACAGGAGTTAACTAGACTGAATTGAACTTACAAATTCTTGCAAAGAAAGATTAAGATGTAGGTATAGAAAAATAGGTATCAGGACTCTGTTTTTCTGACCTTTTGCTCTGCAAGCTCTGTACCTTAGGATGAAAGAATAAATGATGTTTTGTTTTGAAGATGCTGTTTCTGTCACTGCACACTTATATTGTCACAAGCTCGAGAAGGGAAACTTTTACAGGTGCCAAACCCAGCAGAGCCTGTCACATTAACACAGTTAGGAAACAGGGTAGGTGGCTGCAGCACAGAAATCCAGTCCCAGAATGGTTGAACTGTATGCTTCCACCCAGAGCATGCCGTGGAAGCCAGGCTTGTCATCTAAGGGGTGCTCTCAAGAGGGACAAAAACCACAGTTTAACCTGTAACCATGACACCTGTCCATACAGAAAGTTTCTTTCCAGTCTCCATGACTTAGTGGCTGGCTAATGCTTTGAAACGTGTTATCCCTACAAAAAAAAAAAAATAAGTTGCATCTCCTTTAATTAACTTTCTGAGCCAGTTCTCATCCATATAAATGTCTACTCATTTTACAATGTCTTCTAAGTTGTTGGCAGGAATGATATTTTATGGCTGTGCATTCCGTGGCTATGCAAATCTTGGAAATCACATTGAAAACTTAAAGGGAAGAATCAACAACTGCATCTGGTGTACACATGCAATACTACTGATTTTACTATATCTAGTTTGTATGAAGTATCAGAGGGGTAGCCGTGTTAGTCTGGATCTGTAAAAAGCGACCAAAAGTCCTGTGGCACTTTATAGACTAACAGACATATTGGAGCATAAGCTTCCGTGGGTGAATACCCACTTCGTCGGATGCATGTTTGTATGATGTACCCATCAGAAGATAAAACTGTGCCCTAACTCATATTGGTTACTTAAGGGTATATCTAAACAATGCAATACTCAAACTATTACATGATAGGATGAGTGAGATGCAGATAACTATTTAGACTTTTTTGGGGGGGTGGGGGGGAGGGAGGAGAGTGTATGTGGCAGGTAGGAGTGGTGCTCGTCTATCTTCCCATTTACTATTAAACGTTGTGCCTTGAGACTATATATTGGCCTGTCCTCCCGGTTAAGAGCTGTATGTTGGTCTCTCTGGGGCCAGAAGAGTCTCCCAAAATGACATTCAAAGTATGTTTTCTTCTTCAGGAAAGGAACATGCTAACTCTATAGTGCACCCTACTGAGCCTTTACTGATGCACGGAGAAAAGAATCAAGCTCAGCACCATAACTCTGATCCCCTGAATCTCTCAAAGGAGCATGCTCCAAGGTTATTTGCTATAAGAATTGCTAAAATATAGGCCGAGAATTTCCCACATTAAAAGTTTGTTTGAAAATATCCAAAAAAAGAAGCCACTGAAGTTATATGAACTCAATTCTAACAGTCTCAGCACTTTAAACCTTATAATATTTCAATAATTGATTGTTACTAGCTAGTAAGTTACAATTTTTAGGCTGCAGTAGCTAAGAAAAAAACTAGAACACCAAAATATTGAGTACACTAATAATATGTCATCAGTTTCCTTTCAAACAAGAGAACACTGTCCTCCACCAACTGCTTCTTGTAGAATGCTGGGTTGGTTGGTTGGCTTTTTTTTTTTTTAAACAAAACAAAACAAAAAAAAAGGTGAGACATGCCATGCCATTTCAAGAGATGTCCAGTTGGGTGCATACAGAACACAAATAATTAAATACAACAAAAAGAAACTCACCTGAAAATATTAAGATGTTTGCCATTCACAATGTCAGGAATGTCTAAAGGGAACAAAATTAAATACAGTTAGATTACCAGCTATAAATTATCCATAGCAATTCTCATTTCAGAGCAAACATTAAACTAGGACTTCAAAGATGTATCAGGTATATGCTAGCTGAAGGACTGAACCCACAAGATCAGAGGTGGATACAGATCATACTGAGAATAGCGAGGTCCAAGGATAATAATCTAGCAGGAAGTCTACCTTTTCTCCCACAACTGCCAGGAAGGGGGAGGATGCTGGGATTTCTAACAAGGTGCTGTTCCTGAGCCCATTTTAGCAGGGCACGGGGGAGACACTCCCAAGGTACTTTCAGCAACTAGAGGCAACTAAAAAGTTGATAAAGGAAGCTGCATTTTGTCTAAATGTTTGTGTCAAAACCAGCAAAAGATTTAGGCCCTTAAAAGGAACCTGCAAATGCTTATAGTGAGATTAGCAGCATAATTAAGTTGTTTTTATTACAATTGTACCCTATAGTCCCCATTGTGCTATACGGATATACATACATACACACACACACCCGAGAACTTACAGTTTAAACAGACAAACCAGTTAAACTATGGGAGAAGAGTCCCATTTCAAAACTGATTTGGGCACTTCGGCTCCTAAATTGCTAAATTTGTTTTGAATATAGGACTTGGACACTTTTAAAATGACTTTGAATCATAGAAATGTAGAACTGGAAGGGACCTCGAGAGGTCATCTAGTTCAACCCCTGCACTCATGGCAGGACTAACTAGACGATCCCTGACAGTGTGTGTCAAACCTGCTCTTAAAATCCACAATGATGGAGATTCCACAACCTCCCTAGGCAATTTATTCCAGTGCTTAACCACCCTGACAGTTAGGAAGTTTTTCCTAATGTCCAAGCTACACCACCCTTGCCACAATTTAAACCTACTGCTTCTTAACCTCTGATAGGACAAGGAAAACAGTTTTTCTCCCTCCTCTTTATAACAACCTTTTATGTACTTGAAAACTATTATCATGCCTCCTCTCAGTCTTCTCTTCTCGAGACTAAACAAACCCATTTTTTTTTCCAATCTTCCAATCTTATTGGCCATGTTTTCTAGACCTTTAATCATTTTTGTTGCTCTTCTCTGGACTTTCTCCAATTTGTCCACATCTTTCCTAAAATGTGGTGCCCAGAACTGGACACAGTACTCCAGTTGAGGCCTAATCAGCGCAGAGTAGAGCAGAAGAATTACTTCTCATGTCTTGTTTACAACAATCCTGCTAATACAACCCAGAATGTTTGCTTTTCTTGCAACAGTGTTACACTCTTCACTCATATTTAGCTTGTGATCCACTATGACCCCCAGATCCCTTTCCGCAGTATTCCTTTCTAGAGAGTCATTTCCCATTTTGTATGTGTACAAACTGATTGTTCCTTCCTAATTGGAGTACTTTGCATTTGTCCTTATTGAATTTCATCCTATTTACTTCAGACCATTTCTCCAGATCATTCCAAATTTTAATCCTACCCCTCTCAGCTAGGTATCGTCCACAAACTTTAAGTGTACACTCTATGCCAGGGGTCGGCAACCTTTCAGAAGTGGTGTGCCAAATCTTCATTTATTCACTCAATTTAAGGTTTCGCGTGCCAGTAATACATTTTAAGGTTTTTAAAAGGTCTCTTTCTAGAAGTCTATAATATATAACTAAACTACTGTTATATGTAAAGTAAATAAGGTTTTAAAAATGTTTAAGAAGCTTCATTTAAAAGGCAGTGTGAGTGCCACTGAAAATCAGTTTGTGTGCCGCCTTTGGCACCCTGCTCTATGCCATTATGTAAATCACTGATGAAGATACTGAACGGAACCAGACCTAGAACTGATCCCTGCAGGACCCCACTTGATATGCCCTTCCAGCTTGACTGTGAACAACTGATAACTACTTTCTGGGAATGGTTTTCCAAACAGTTATGCATCCACCTTATAGTAGCTCCATCTAAATTGTATTTCCCTAGATTGTTTATGAGAAGGTCATGCGTGACAGTATCAAAATCTTTACTAAAGTCAAGATATACCATGTCTACCACTTCCCCCCATCCACACGGCTTGGTTCTCTGTCAAAGAAAGCTATTAGGTTGGTTTGATATGATTTATTCTTTAAATCCATGCTGATTGTTACTTAGCTCCTTATTATCTTCTAGGGGTCTGCAAACTGATTGCTTAATTAATTATTTGCTTCATTATCCTTCTTAGTACTGAAGTTAAGCTGACTGATTTGTAATTCCTCAGGTTGTCCTTATTCCCCTTTCTATAGATGGGCAAACATAGTGCCCTTTTTCCGTCTTCTGGAATCTCTCCCATCTTCCACGACTTTTTGAAGATAATCGCTAATGGCTTAGAGATCTCCTCAGTCAGCTACTTGAGTATTCTACGATGTATTTCATCAGACCCTGATGACTTGAAGACATCTAACTTGTCTCAGTAATTTTTAACTTGTTCTTTCCCTATTTTAGCCTCTGATCCTACCTCATTTTTACTGGCATTAAGTAAGTTGGATGTCCAGTTGTTACCAAGCTTTTTGGTGAAAACTGAAACAAAAAGTGATTTAGCACTTCTGCCATTTCCACATTTTCTGTTATTGTTCCCCCGCACCTTCAACTGAGTAATGGGCCTACCTTGTCTTTGGTCTTCCTCTTGCTTCTTATGTATTTGTAGTATATTTTCTTGTTACCCTTTATGTCTCTAGCTAGTTTAATCTCGTTCTGTGCCTTGGCTTTTCTAATTTTGTTTCTACATACTTGCATTATTTGTTTATATTCATCCTTTGTAATTTGATATAGTTTCCACTTTTTGTAGGACTTATTGAAAATTTCCTGGTTAAGCTAGGGTGGTCTCTTGCCATACTTCCTATCTTTCCTACGCAGTGCACTAGATACTTGTGCAAGGTCAAACAGATCAGTGCCTGAACTGGGAATCAAACCCAGGTTTCCAGTTCAAATAATTAATTTTAAAACACAGTTCTAAGAATGTAAAGATCAATAAAACATTAAGAAAAAATGAGCATGTATAAGATTGTATCTTCATGGAGGGGTATAATCATATCTTGCTGTTTAAACCCCTGGATATCCAAACGACAATCTCTCTTTGGCTGTGGAACACACCATTTCCCCCACTCAAGCCATTCAACTGTCTTGGCCCCTATCACTGTCTGAATTGCCTGGAAAACTTGAGGTAATGCCTGCTTGAGTGACAGGGCACTTCCACTTCACTATCAATGTATCTGTTTACAGAGTAGTTGAAGTTTACACTGTTAATTATATATCATTATTATAAACAGAACTCTTGGTACTAAGAAACTGTCATTTTGCAATTACTGAAATTTCTATTTTAAAAGAAATGCAGTTGTATAATTTGTAATTACAATTTTTGCTTACATGGTATGTTGAGTTTTGTCTTCTTTCTCCTTAAGTGATTTTATCTCTTGCTTAATCATAATAAATAGCAGTAGCTTTTAATAAGAGCCTTTTATATTGAACCTAACTGAACCTAACTAAATAGGAAATAAATGGGATCTAGTAATACACTGATTATCCAACCTTTATTGATTTAACACTATGCAGAATATAGATGTACAGGAGAGATGATTTTTCTAATTTCCAGTTGAAATTACATGGCCAAATTCTGAACTTACTTATATCCCTGTGCATTCCTATTGGCATCAAGGTGGTTGTACAGGGTGCAAATCAGTGCACAATTTGGCCAAGAACCTTTAGGCTGCTTTACGTGACACATGGCCATTTCTAAAATCTTACAGGTGACCTATTTCTCATACCATCAGTAATAGTGAACACTTCAGAGAGATTCTAATGCTCAGAAGCTTTGAAGTTTTAGCACAGCTTGAAATGTCTTATTACTATCTAGAAACAACTATATAGATTTAAGGAGCAGCAAAGTGTCTCAACAAGGAATAATGCTACCTCTGTAGCATTAAATCTAAATTACTGCCTCGTGTCATATAAATGTCACATTTCAGATGGCTCCTATGCTGTCTTTGATTGACCTTGAACACACAGTGAAAGTTAGAAGCTATTCTTTGTCTATCAATTTTCTTCAGTCTCAAGGTAATAAGCCAGATAATTCTATCCATATTGGATTATGTATCACATTTCTCCATGATAAAATATAGCATGTTACTTATCATTCATCTTTGTTGTTGTAGTTGGACTGCCGATGCTGTTTTAAAAAATATTTTCCTTACACTGCATTATAAGGTCATATACTGAAGTGCAACCATACATCAGATAGGCCTTGAGAAGTACTGGGAATTATCTCAACTGCTCTACCTATCTTGACTACTACAACAGGGATATCTACACTACTATACACAAACCCCAAACCCTTGATTTTTGGTCCTGTATTTTACTGAATAGCTTCAATGAGAGAGGAGTCCCTAAAGGAGTATTGACCCAAGCCTTGAAAATCTGAAATATACCCTTCTTGGCTTGTGAAAGAGGCATGAACAACTGGTGCTACTCTCGACCGAAAAGACAACACCTCATTCTTCCTTTCCTTCTTCAAATATACAATAGTTTGACCAACACTGAAGAAACCCACCCTGGACAAATGAGTTCTACCCAACTACTGCCCAATGTCAAACTTCCCATTCCTGAACAAGCTCAAAGAGAAGCTAGCCAAAGGCCAACTACAAGCTCAGCTAATTGAAGCTAAAATTCTAGACCCGTCATAATCTGGATTCAGGCCAGAATATGGAACTGAAACCACTTTAGTAGCACTGAGGGATGATTGCCTCCTGTCAATGGATAAAAGGACAGACAGATCCATTCTGATCCTGCTGGAGCTCTCTACATCATTCAACATTGCTGACCATGAGATAGTGCTGTCTCACCAGGGAGAGGGAGCAGGGGTCCAGGGTAATGAACTAAAATGGTCTGAGTCCTTCCTGGAGGGACACAACCAAGGAGTAGTGGTAGAGGAGCAATTTCCCATCACTAGACCCCTCACTTGTGGAGTCCCACAAGGATCA